GGGAGCCCGAAATGTTGGCGTGGATATACTTCCTGTGAACTTCATCCCCATCTATGTTTGCTGGGAAGGCTTGGAGGACACTGTCACCCATCATCGATGATATTTAGTGAGGCATGCTGGCAACTTTGACCTGTGCTACGGTGGCCAAGGATGTGGGTAGGAACCTTTGCCTTTGAAGGGTCCACCCCAATTTCAGGGAAGATAAGGAGATCTTAGAGGTGACAATGGCCAAGCAATGGCTCATTAAGTGCAAAGACAAAATTAGGGCTGGAGTGGGTGGTAATTGGATGGTTTGGCCTATAGGGATCCTTGGGGTGGTTCGCAGAGTGTGGGTTTCCTAGAAACTGAAGTCAATGATCACCCTACTAAAGTCCTGCTGATATGCACTCTGAATCTGGATTCTTCTTCCCTGTCTGCCACGTTTCTGCTAATGTCTCCATCCATGGACTTCATGCCCTATTCCTGTTAATGGAACCAAACTCAACACTGCTTCTGATCCAATATCTCATTTTACAGCAAGAGAAATGAAGCAAGCCTTCCAGTTAAATGCACACATTTATTTTTGCTTCTCAAATTTTCCTGCAATTAAAGTAGAGGGTTAAAAGAAAACTCCTAGGGACATAGTGTACAACATACCCCATAGGGACACCGGAACAACACACCATGGATTCTGGAAAGCAGGTGATATGGGTGAGCAGCTTGGGAGTCCTGACTATAAGTCAGCAATGGAAAAGATCCAGAATTATCAGAACCAGGTACCCTGGACAATACAGGAAAAGGCTAAAAACAAGAGAATTGGTTTAAAAATTCTTTAAGAAGCAGTTAGACCCAAAGAACACCATCACCACCTGGGTAGAAATCAGTGGTTTCATTTCTGAAGAAGATACACAAGAGAGCTCTTGACTAAGGCACACCCAGCAGAGAGGAAAGTGGTGGTGCAATGTGAACACTGAGTGATCTCAGAGCAACTCTACATCCTAAATGGAAATCCCATGCTCCTGCTCAGCTCCCAGAAAGCCTGCAGGCCAGGTATGACTTCCAAACAGGGAATTAAAATTGGGAGATCTGGCAGCCCCAGAGGGGGAAAAATCATTAACTAAGGA